CTGGCCATAGGCTCTAATGAGGAAGCAAAATCTTAATTGCAGAGCCAAGTGAAAAAGGGTTGTTCCATGAATCACCATACATACTTTCTGTGGCCTTGTTATAAGAAGGCTGGAATATTGCCTTCTTATAGGCAATCATGACATCACTGGACTCAAGGCCTGCAAATCAGGAGTGTTGCTACTATTGCCACCACTGGAATGATTTTTCAAGCTCCATGCATTCTGAGATTGCAGAGTAGTTTACTGATTCTATAAAAGTCATAAGCTGCATGATCCCTGCTACCCATCAACTTTGCATCATTCAGTGAAGTAGTGAGCATCAAATGTCACTTGAACTGTCAGAATTTCATCCTAGCAGCAATCAATGCAATTACAAGCAGGGCTAGCCTTACAATTATGCAGGATAGGATAAGAAGTTTGGGGTTGCACTTCTTTCAGCCCAAAGGTCAAATTCCACTTTGGAGAAACTCTCAGAGGCAACAGTCTAAAGGTGGGCAGGGCTGAATACCAAATGAACAGGAACCGGGCAAAATGGGTGTAATGAACATACAGAGTATTTGAATTTAAAGCTCTTTACTGCCAGTCTAAGGATTCTATTCAGACATGTCAGACATACATTCTTGTTCAGTCAAGGTTTGAACTAGGGTGGGGTGGGGTGGGGTGGGATGGGTAAAGTTTCTATATACTACCATATCCTTTTGCACATTTGATTGTAAGAATAAGCTGTGATACGTGGATAACCCACTTTGAAAAGGGAAACACAAACATGAAATCCCCCCCAAACATTATCATTGTAGCATTAAGACTGTTCAGCTTCTCGCGCTGATTTATCATTACTATAATTGCAATGTTAATGTGCACCATGACCTCATGTACGTTTAACTGAGAGGCCCATCACACTGGGTGGGTTTGTATGTCCTGCTAACCCACCCTGACAATGGGCCAGAGTGAGTTGGTTGTTGCAAGAACAACCCACAATAGATAACTAAGCTCACTTGGGGTTGTCAACCCTTGCCCTTTCCCCTAGTGCATAAGCTAGAATTCTAGGGGCCTTTATTCATGCTGCTCTTCCTGCTCCAACTGGGAGCATTTTTCCTTTTTGAGAGATTGCTTATCATGATTGCTTACTTGACATGTCCTGCAAAGTGCTAAACGGCAGAGTGGTTTGTATGCCTTTTTAAAAACATAAAATTTGTGCCACACATATGCACACTTTTGTTAATTAACAAAATTAGCTGAAACTGTGTACTTCCATGGGAGAGAAAATGGGAGGCAACACCTGGATAATGTGCTGGGAGGGTAATGTCAAAATGCAGCAGATAGCGACCATGGATACTGACCCAGAAAGGATCCCAAAATTGGATGGGGGGGGGGGGCTGGAGGGGTTATATGCTTTTTTTTTTAATTTATATTGCGCTTTATATCCTGCCTTTTTCCTACAAAGGGCTCAAGGCAGCTTACATCTTCTCTCTTCCTCCATCTTATCCCCACAACAACAACCCTGTGAGGTAGGTTGGGCTGAGAGGCTGTGACTGGCCCAAAGTCACCCAGTTGGCTCCACGGCTGAGCAGGGACTCGAACCCAGATCCTCTGAGTCCCAGTCCCATGCTCTTAACCACTACGCCACACTGGCTCTTAAAAGACAAACTGTTAAGTTCAAAGTGAAGACACAAGTGGCCTTTGCTCAACAAAAGAGGTGGAGAGATTTATCCCCCTCTAGCACTGGGATCCTCAAGGGTTTTTCTGTTCTTGCTAGGTGTCCAATTTTTTTCACCCATTCCCAAGGGTCTAGATATTCAGGAAAATGGGAACATGCAAGCCACAACCTTTCACTAGAACACAGAGGCTTGACAACTAGCTGTTAAAGCTCCAGATCCTTTTAAAAGCTTTTGTTGCGGCTTTCAAACTTCACCATGACTTTTTTTACAGTAACATACAGGCATGTATGAACTTACTGTTCTAAGTTCACAACTTACTGTTTTATTCACAACCCACAGTGTGGATAGTTGTCCATATCTGGAGGACATAGATAAAACAAACCCTGGGTTCTCAGGATGACTGAGCAAAGCCATCCGAGCCACTCTGAGGAAAACAGTTTGAGCCCAGGTGATGCAACTAAAGTTAGGAGAAACCCCTCTGGGCACAGAAGAGAGGCACTGCAATTGGTCACACCAGGTGCCATTCCTCGAGAACAACCTTCTTCCAGTTGCTCAGAGCAGCAGCAACACCAAATGCAGAAGAGGGGCTTTGTCTGCGCAGCATGTAGTGCTTGATTTCTGGCACTCCCCATGAACATTGGGAGCACTCACCGGAGACCAGGGAGCCAAGCACAGGGAATCTGACAGATTTTCACCCCCTCTGGGAAACTATACAGTCACGGATTCTCACTGCTTTTCACTAGAGGTGTTCATAGATGGTTTATGGCAATCCACACATTCAGAAGTACAGGTTGTTCTTAACCCAGATGTTCGTAACCCGGGGACTACTTGTATTTCTCTTGAACATAGTGGGAGTTTACTTCTAAGAAAATAAGACTGTGCTGTCTGTTTCATACACCTTAGTTTGATTTACTCACTTTTCTCCTCAAATAAATACAATCTATCGGTCACATCTCTTTACATTTAAATATTTCTCTTCCTGCACTTTCCACTGGCTGAAAATCTGACACTCATGGGGAATACAGCTGACCATGGGGAGCAAGCATTAAGAAAGCAGTAGAAAAAACAGGTAATTTAAAAAACCCTCTCTTCTTTGCAAATGTCATTGATGCACACAGTTGAATCCTATGTTTTTCGTACCAGGAAATCTCTTTTAATTCTGTAGGATTTACTCCCAGATAAATGTGTCTACCATCTGCTAAAGGGGTGCAACCCTACATGCACTTCCATCAGGTAAGCATCACTGGGCACAGTGGAACTCGCTTCTGAGTGAACAGGCAAAGGACTGCAATATTTCTTTTCTGATCTAAAACTCCACTGCACAATCCAATACATGTCTTCTCAGAGATCCACGTGGTTCTTATTGGTTTGCACCTCACGGAGTTTAATAACGCTTGCTCCCAGGAAAGCGCCGCTAGGGCTGTAGCCTCCGTTACTTTTAGAGGGAACAGCTTTACCCTATCGGCTGCCCTTCGGAGCTGCCCATTACTCCCCACCCAGTTCCATTGGCTCACAAGGAAAGGTCACGGCCTCCCACCATCGAGGTCTGCGCTGGGAACCTACCCTGCACCATGCACGATAATGCACCGGCTCTTTCCAGCTCCGCGGAGCTGAGCTACAATAGCAGCAGCCCTCTGCAAGGACTCCACCTTCAGCGTCTCCCGCTGGTTTTTCTGCGTCAGTGCGCTGCCTCCTAGCTTAAGGATACAATCCACCACAGCCATTGCAACAACCCCACATCCCAAAGGACATTTCCCGACGCTGTCGCCCTCGTCTCCTTCCGTGACATCATTTCCGGCCCGGTTATTAACACTTAAGTTGATTTTTTTAAGTCACACTCCTGTGCGAGTTTAGAAACGAAACCAAGGGTTTAGATCTTTCAGCATGCCTCAGCCAGAGTTTTGTTCCCTTCAAACTCGCATAGGATTGCGGCTAAAACGCGCCCAGGCAAGAGCTGGTAACGATTGCAGCTTGCCAAACAACCGAGCAATCCTGCTGATGATTACTGAGAAGTAACACTAGTTGTCTTGAATTAAGAGCATTTTCCAAGTGTGCCCAGGATGGCAGGGTTCGGGCATAATCCTAAGCATGTAGAGATCGAAAAAGCAAAAGCCAGTATTGCTGGAAATCCTAGGATTTTTTCCCCGTCTAAACATGCATAGGATTACGTCTTCGATGAGTTGTGCTTCTTGACTTTAACGCAGCACTTTTAGACACAGGATCCTTGTCCAACCGGAGCAGCGAATGGTTAGGGAAGGACCATTAAACCAGAAGTAGTTTGAACAGCCGCAGTAGCCTATTAAAAGAAACTTTCTGGGAAGAAGCTCTTAGGGGATTCAGAAGTAACAATAGTTTTTGAAGAGCGAGTTGCATATTGCTGCCTTCGACATTCTCTTTACAGGTTGCTGGTTTCAGTGGAGCAACGACTCCATCTTCAAAACCAGTTGGTTCCCATTACAAGGGAAATAATTCTGTATATGTTCAAAAACCTTGTTTCCGTAGGCTGATTTTCAAAACAAAAGCTGGTTTCAGTTACCCGAACGCCAACCAAAACGAACCCTATCTGTAATAACTAGTATGTAACCACAGTTGTTCATTTAATGTCTTACGATGACTCTTTTGCCAGTTCCTCTGCGCTGGTCTCTCTTTTGTCAAAATCTAGATTGTAAATTGCATGGGGGCGCAGAAATGGTGTGTGGATGTGTGCGCGGACGTTCATATCTGCAATCCTGTGTACTGGGAATATTATTTCTGTATTTCTATACTGCCCCGTAGTCGAAGCTCTCCGGGTGATTTACAAGAGTAAGTCGTCTTGAATTCAGTGGGACATCTGAAAAGAGACATGCATGGATTACGCTGCACATTATTCTATGAAGCGTTATGTACAAAGGAATGGTATTCTGCATATCCTCAATGATACTCAAGCCAGAGTGTCGCTCCTAAACAAAAGGTTGAAATTCTAATTTATGTATGCGGTGCCGTTATACAGACACCCGAAACTTCTCTACTGAGAACAGGAATTCTTTGATTCGTTAACATTGCTCTCCACTTAATTTATAAATCAGGTTGAACAAGCCGCGCAGAATATGACGTGATTTCCAAATACAATGCAAGACTAAATGGTAAAATGTAAATATAAGGAAAACAACGTAAACTTTATATCGTCTGCCCTACACTAAATGTTTAGCCGTTGAGCTTTCATTCACAAAAGTGTATCTTCCTCCCGCCCTGGATATTTTTTTTTTTCTTGTCAAACCAAGGTTCAGAAATTATTGATGATCCCTCAATTTAACTTCCGGACAAAGACTATTGGTTGGTTGCGAGCAGGGTCTGTTGTGATGATGTCAGCAGAAAATGCCAGCGAGTAGCGTCGATTCTACTGTTTCTAGGAGCCGGTAGAGCCTGCCTGGGGTGGGTATTTTACTATATACCGAATAATCCTACTCCCTGATTTTGAGAGCGACGGGGATGTGGGGGCAGTTTCTAGTTTAGTTTGAATCCCCTAGTGCTGACTGTTACGTAGCTTGCAATAGCCATATTTCTGCAAACTGGCCAGATTCCTCCTTTGTGATGGACGAATTAATTAATTAATGCGCAGACGGAATATTATCTGCAAGAAGGCTGGTATGAATTGCTTCCTTTTTACTGTATTCCATCAGAAGACCTACAGAAATGCACAATTACGTAGTGGTACATTTTCCTTCGTTCTGGGCATCAGAGATACATCCTCTCCATTAGCTGGAGGCTGTATTTAGTTGTGATGGATGGATCAGTCCCATTTTGATGCATCAGTCCACATGAAATAATTTCGTCCTTCTTCAGAACTATCTGAGACGATAGCTGTACAATAATTCTACAAAAATTATAATTTGGGACTATTCACCTGTGACACCATGATATATGATAAAGCACTGGGCATACCCTCCCCCATCTCCCTCTCTCCCTCCCTCCCCCACCCCCTCCCCTCTCATACTCTGTTTAATGAGTATCATTGTGGTTTGCTCTTGCATCCCAACCAGCAGACCAGGGTTATGGAAATATAGGACTCATCTAAACCATAGTTTGATATTCCCTGTGAATTGACTGCATTGTATGAAGTATTTCTTTAGTCTGCTCTGAAACTTCTTTCAGCCTACTTGCCTGAGTGAGTTTCTCTGCTGTAATCAGTAGCAAAATAAATCCCCACTTTCTACTTCAACCTCCTCCAACCTGCTGCTCTCCAGATGTGTTTGACTACAACTCCCATGATCCCAGGCCAACTTATTCAGTGGCACGCTGGAGGGCACCAGATTGGAGAAAGCCATTCTAGCACTTTCATCATTTCACACTTCTCTAGTTTTTTCCTTAAATGCATTTTGTTCTATAAACAAATGAACCCCAAATGCTATGGTCTTTCCTTACATTCCTTAAAAGGAGTGTGCTCCAATTCCTATATTTTAGTTGCCAACCTTGTACCTTGTCCATTTCAGCAATACTCAGACCAGAACAAGCTGACCAAAACCACGTAGTAAATGTGGCTGCATTGTAGCTATCTATTGACCTAGCTGTGGAAATGCAAACATCGGAGAGCTGTAATGTACACTTTAAATACAAGATGCATATAGCTAATCAGGTTCTCAGGCTAGGATTTTAATGCTCTCACACTTTAACCCAACCTCCAATCAATTCTCTTATCATATGTAAAACCTGGCCCATGCTCGTTCTAGGTTTGCAGCATCAGTCTCTCCCAAGTTGACTGGTGGAATGTTGTTGACTTAGCTGGCAGAGTCGGCGGAGGAGGCCCTTCTCCGGGAGCCCTCTGTGAAGGATATTAGGAGGGTGAGTACCTGGAGGAGGGCCTTCTCTGTGGTGGTGCCCCACCTATGGAATGCGCTCCCCAGAGAGGTCCACCTGGTGCCGTCGTTATTTGTTTTTTGGCACCAGGCCAAGACCTTTTTATTTAAACAATATTTTAATTGTTAATTTGTTGTTCTTATTTATTGTTTTTAAATTATGGCCGAGATACTCCGAATTTTTAATCTTATCCTATTCTATGTTTATCTGCCTTGTAAGCCGCCCCGAGGCTGTCTGCGATGGGTGCGGCATAAAAATGTTATAAATAAATACATAAATAAAAATAAACAACATGAGGCCATCAGAAATGTGACTAGTGAAAACCTGCCTTGCTTGCTCTGGCTCCATTAACTTCCCTATGCTATTTTCAGAAAGGTTAAAATTCTGCAGATCTGCTCTTTCAGAGAGGAAGCAGGGAGCTAGATTCAGCACTGACCCCATATCTGCCGGGACCTAGGTTTCCCCCTTGCCATTTCAAAACAAAAGAGTGCTCTTTGGCAAAAGTTCTTTATTCTCCAGTGTACATCCAGTAAACCATAACCAGCAAAGGAAGAGTCTCTGAGCATACACAGAGAGGTTGAACTTTGCATTTATTTGTTAGTGAAGCTGTATCATATTTATATTAATTTATTTCACTGTGCTGCCACCCCAGGACATTGAAGGATGGGATGCAAGAACTTTAAATAAATAAACTAACAAGCTAAAAACTACTTCCAAGAACGCTCATTGTGAGTAACTGCGGGACCCAGCCCCTTGGGAAGACCCTTATGGAGGCAGGCAAGCCTCTTAGCTCTGTGCTGCCTCTCTAATTGGCTAGCCTTTCTTTCCCAATGCCACGTCATGGGATCAAGGATTGTACTAGGCTCGTGTGGCTCCTGCAACAGTTGCAGACTCCAGCTATTCTCAAGGTCTACCTGAACACCTGGAGAATGCAGCCTTGAAATAAGCCCTTTTGCCTCCTCCATCTCAATATCTGGAGGTGGTACCCAGGGCACATTCTGCCCATCTGAAGAGCTGGTGTCACCATGACCCTGAAATGTGTGCCAATAACACCTGCAAATTCATTTCCAATAATTAGCAGAAAGCTAACTCGTTTCCACCAAAAATTGGATAGATGTGACTTTTACAAGCTTGTGTCTTGATTTCCAGTGAAGCAGTTCCTCCCTGTGCGGTTAGCATTTATCCTTTCCCTCTTCAGTATTCTTGTTTTAGTATTCATTGTTTTTGCACTGCAGCAGAAGTGTGCTAATACAACCCTGCCCTTAACCCAATCTAAGCTTGCATGTTTGAACCAGAAACAGCTCGCATGTGGCGTGCAACAAGGGAACAGGCCCATTGCAATATGTAGTGATTATGTATAGAGCCCTACAAAGTGCTGATTTCCTGCCTTTTCTTTGACCCAAGGTTCTTTGATGCTCATCCAGCACATCTGAAAAATCATGAAATTTTTATCACTTGCAGCCACTGTTTGGTGTATCCTGGTACCATCCACTGAGGCCAGCAAGGTGAGAAAGCAGGAGGGATTTAAGAGGGAGAAAATTCACTAAGTAAGAGGGCTTGTGCATGACATTAAACTGGCCTTCCCCAGTTTAGTTCCAGATATTCTGGACTGCAACTCCCAGTATCCCTGACCATTAATCTTTCTGGCTAAGGATGATAGAAGTCCAGAACATCTGGACAACCCTAGATTGGGGGAAGCTGTCTGAGCAAAGATGTAACCTGACCAAACCCTCAGTCTTATGCATTCTATGACTATGACTGTATGATGAGTTAACTAGTTTGTTGCTAAAGCATGATTAGGATGCATCCCCATGTATATTAACGAATTAATTTCATTTTTCTACCACTCAATAGCTTAGGCTGTCTGGATGCTTAACAAAAGTTAAAAACACACAAATAAGAAAGAAAAAATAGCATGAAACAATAAACCACAACAGTGGCAACCAGATCAGCACTGAGATATAGCAGCAATACAGGATGAAATGCAGTATTAAAACTAAAGTTAAGAACTGTTAAAATACTGGGAAATTTTTGGTGCTGAAAAGAATACAGAGTAGACACCAGGTGCACCTCTTTGGGAAACTAATTTCGTAGCTGGGGTGCCATAATCACAAAGGCGCTTCTCATGCTAGCCATATTCCTTACTTCTTTTGGAGGGGACTCCTGGAGAAGGAACCCCAAAGATGACCTCAAGGACTGGATACGTACATATGGAGCATATTTGGGAATAAGCCCCATTGAGTGCATTGGCATTTGTTTCTGGGTAAACATGCATAATATCAGGCAGTAAGACACAAGATGCTGTTTACTGTTCTGTACTTGTATTCTACTTAAAATCAAATGGAGGAAACTCCCTTTCTACAATATTGTTTCAAGCATGGATTTCTCATCTGGCTCAGTTTTCTTAAAATTATATTTTTATCTGTAGAAAGTTATTAGATAGGAGAAAGGTTGCTAGCAAATTTGCGTGGTGATCCTGCTGCAGGTACTTTGTGATAGGGCAGGACATTTCTGTCAGGTGCTCCCTATTCTAGTCATATCCTGTTTTTTCTTTGGTAGGCCTTTAAGGACATCCGCTGCAAGTGTGTCTGCCCACCATACAGGAATATTAGTGGACATATTTATAAGAAGAATGTGTCACAAAAGGACTGGTGAGTCATCTTTCAACAGTGGTTGACAACCTCCAGGTACATAGTATCTCACCTTTGCAAGCAGTAAAGCAGAGTTCCTCATGTGACCGTTCTAGAAAGTTATCTGCCTTGAAAATGGATTTTGACCTTCACCAGTGTGAAAGGCCAGGATTTATAACTGCCCCTTACTGAAATGCATATACATTTGTTTTTAAAGAACTTAAAATATTAAATGACAATGGCACCATGCAACACATCATGACAAAACTAAGGAAAATGAACATTTGCCATTCAGTTGTTCATCAGGTTTATGGAAGTTCTTCTTGTTGGGTTCTAGGCCTTAGATTGAGGGGAAAATAAGCTGAGGTCTCATCATTTCTGACAGAACAAGGCTGACGCTTTAAATATGCATTTTGGCCAGGGAGGCTGAGGCCTCCTGCGTCAGTGGGGTTCCCATCCATTGCTGCTTTTCCTTTGAGCTTTATAGGAGCTCTCCGTAGGGCTGCAGTCTACCCCCAAGATAGGTTTGCCGTCATGAACAGTTCTTACAAAGCTGAAAATAAAAGTAACCTCACTGACACTGACCAGCCTCCCCTGCATTTAGGGAAGAATTGCATTTAGGGTGCGATTCTGCTCTTGTTAGATAGGAGGATTCCTACAACTCCCAGCGCAGCTTGTGTGAGAAGTGCTGGCAGTTATAGCACTTTCTATGTCTAAGCATGCAAGTGACAGTGAGTTCAGCATGAGTGATCAAGGGAGCGTAGTTTTAATGAGTAGAAGGAGCGTCTGAGCATTTGGACTTCTCGTGGCACTACATGCCCTGCTTATCTTTTGAAGCCCTAGCAGGGAAAATGGCAACCCCTTTCTGTCTAGGAAATGGCTGGTTTAAAGATCGGCCTCTCTTTTCTGTCTGCACCATTTCTCCTAATGGTGTTGATAGGGGAAGGTAATATTAATATAATATTAATAGCACTGTAATTAGTAGTTACATGTTGGTAATATGGGAAGTACTTAGAATCCTGATCATGGCAACTGAGCCGAAATATCTGGAGAGCACCAGATTGTGAAAAATTGGCTTATGCCCATGTATTAAAATCTGCTTAGAATCTCTTTGGTTAAAATAACTGGAGAGGGACTTTTGCAGCAGAAATCTGTTCAAGTGGACACCACTAGTGATCTCCCTATATAACTTATAGTAAGAAATGTATATTTAAAATAAACAATAATTTAAAACATCATGATTCAAGTTGTGTTTTGATAGAATTAATTATGCCGTGAGGCTTTTGTATAATTTCTGTAGTTTAATCTTGAAGAAGATGAACTTTGCTAACTACGGTGGTATTCCATGCATGAATAGCACAATCCCCAAAAGCAAGTTTCACTGAGTTCAGTGAGATTTGCTCCCAAGTAAAGGTCAAATTAGTTCTGATCTTGGATTTGTGCAGTTGTAACTGCCAAAGTGTTTGTTTTCACAAAAACCAGTCATGGGGATGGAAGCATGCCCACCTGGATCAAGATCACAGCAGGATAGAAGAGTGAATTCTTATTTACCCCCATTGGTTAAATTAAAGGCATCCTAATTAGGAAGTCTCACAGTCAGAGAACATTCTATTTAAGACTTTGATCTTCCTTCAAGTATTGTTGTTGTTGTGTTGTATTACAAGATGATATCATCAGTGTTTTCAGTATGTCTCCTTTCCATGCCCAGCCATGACTGTAACAACTCATGACAGCAGCAGAGTAGAGCGGAGCTTTATAGAACAGAAAAGTATTGGAAGATATTTCACTAACAAGTACAAGCCCTATCAACAAAATTTCAATTGTTATGGAGTCATTCAGTCAGTCAATTTTATTGCAGAAAAGCACAGGTTCTTACAATTTTGCCACTACAACATAAAAGACAGTCACAGAAAGCCAAATAAGCCACTCTGATCGGTTCATCCTATGTACATATGTATAGCATCTATTTTTAGTGCCTTTGTCATAATGAACAGGCCTGAGCAATTCTTATTCAGTATTGCACCAAAATTACACAATCCACCAATAATGCATCTTAAAGCCTAGCAAAAAAAAGTGTAAAAAATAATATCACTTATCCAAAGTCAAACTTGCCCCATCAACATCCCTTACTTAAGACTACTTTCCCCTGCACCCGAATGAAACAAAACAGGATAATGTAGCAAAACTCATCCAGGTGATCTCTAGATATGGGATGTCCAGACTTCAGTTTTAAAATGTTCATTTGTGTCTCCCCCACCCCAATTTTATATGACTTCTGAACACAGTTAAATTTCAGAAAAGTAACTGGTGCCATCTAGTACATTGGGATGGTAACTGCAGCCATTCTAAAAATGGAGAGCTTTAGCTGAAGATGATTGAGGATGGAACAGATCCTCAGACTATCGTAAGTCTGCCAAACTTCACCCATGTGCAGGCATTTGCTTCACCCCATCCCTGCATATGAATTTTCTTGAATATACTTCTTTCAGTCAAAAAGCTCATCCTTCTAAGGTTATTTTATCACTGCACAAGCAGTGAGTCTTTGTTCTTGCTGAAAGAAAGAATGGGAATCAAGGAAGGGACAGTATAAAGGAAGAGAATGACAGGACGAGAGAATGAACAAGAAAAAATGAGGAGGAAAAATGGATGTACCCATAGGGTTAGGAATACTGAAAGCAAATAGTATTCATCTTTATATATTGTTCGCTTTTTATCTTATTTATTCTTATCTATTTCTGTTCAAGAAACACACTAGCTGTTTCTTAAACTCCATATGCTCAAGAGCACAAAAAATGTACCTGCCATTGCACAAATCTTTATTTTCCTGCTGTGGAAAATATCTCAATTTGGATGATCACCTCTCAGTTTATTAAGCTGAAATATACATGAGCCTTTTACCCTTAAACACAGCTCCTTTCTCTTCCCACCTTTGTTCATGGCATGTAAAAATTAAGTCCATGAATCTCCAGTTGATGATGCCTTCTTCATCTGAACCAGGAAACGTTGGTTACCAGCTTCAGAAAAAAACAGGATCTTAAGCCAACCTTGAACCATGGTTTAAGTTCCTAGTTGATAGCCATAGTTTGGATGAAATTTAAATGATGGGATAATTCAGACTTCTGAGTTTAATTCCTGCATTGTGTGCAGGGCGGAGAAGGGCTCATACATGTGAACCAAAGCTGTGTGCATATCTTAGCTTATTAGGTAATAATCATCCAAATGCAGTCAGTGTGTTCAGCTGCATATTGCAATAAACCATTCAACATCTGAATAGACTGCTTATATCAGCCTTCCTCATGCTGGTACACTCCTGGAATACAGTTTCCATAAGCTTCAGTCAGTATGCCCAACAACTTGGGGTAGTAACTATAGTCCTGCAAACCTGGAGAGGACCAGACCGAGAAGCTGGTCTTATGCTGTCCTCCACAGCATAGGAGATCTTTGATGGCCACTCTTGATGCATGTTCCTTGCCGTTGCAGTAACTGCCTGCATGTGGTGGATCCTATGCCAGTGCCTGGGCATGATGTTGAGGCATACTGCCTGTTGTGTGAATGCAAGTATGAAGAGCGAAGCACTACCACCATCAAGGTACAAGTTTATCCTATATTTGCCATGTTTTCCCCTCCTCCTTGCTGTATTCAACCGAGAACTTGGGCTGTTGGCAGTTTCCAAGACAGAGGTGAAAGGGGTGAGGATATACCTACAAGGGAAATAGCAATGTTTCCTAAATGGTTTCTGCATCTCTGAAAGTCTAGTCTGGTGGCTTTCATAGAGCTATTTAGTTTTAACTTAGAAGTGCAACTATGAAACACATATGGAGATTATAGCAGTGATCACGGAAGAGTCATGTCCCATATACATCCATGGGTCATGTTTGTGTCTCAGAAGCAGTCATTGTGGATGCTGTTGAGAATCATGGCCTGAAACAGAAGTAGGTGACCTGGTACAGTCCAGATGTTTTGGACTATGAGCCCCACCAAGCATTGCCAGTGATCAAGAATTATGAGAGTTGTCATCCAAAACACCTGGAAGGTCCCAGGTTGCCTCTGCCTGGCCTAGCTGAATCATACAGTCATCAAGGAAATAATGGAGCTAATTTTTGTATCAATTATATGCAAAATAATATATAATTATTGGCGACTGGATTGCTTGCGACTGCAGGTGGTGCAGTGGTTTAAACCGCTGTGCTGCTGGGCTGGTTGATCGAAAGGTTGCCAGTTCGAATTTGCACAACGGAGTGAGTTCCCTTTGCTCCGTCCCAGCTCCTGCCAACCTTGCAGTTTGAAAGCATGCAATTGCAAGTAGATAAAAAGGTACCACTTCAGTGGGCAGGTAATAGCGTTCCGTGCACTTCAGTGTTTAGTCATGCCAGCCACATGACCACGGAAAGGAGACTGTCTGCGGACAAACGCTGGCTTCCTCGGCTAGGAAACGGAGATGAGCACTGCCCCTAGAGTCAGGCATGACTGGACGCAACGTCAAGGGGAAACCTTTACCTTTTTTGGCGACTGGATTGCTTACATCTGAGGTGATGGCTATCTTGGGTCAGTCCCTGAATGCCTCCCAGTCATTCCCAACGTACAGGTTCAGTTTTGTCCCTGTTTGTGCTACTGGCCTGCCAAGAGTCCTAGCCAAATGTCCCAATTTCTGTATCATTTGTGGCCTTTGCATTTTCTAGAAGTGATGGCTTAAGAATTCTCTTGCATCCAGGATCTCTAATAGCATTTTTTCTTCTTGCCTTCTTGCAGGTCATCATCGTGATATACCTTTCTGTGATTGGAGCCCTTCTACTCTACATGGTTTTCCTAATGGTGGTGGATCCCCTTATCCGCAAGCCTGATGCCTACACCCAGCGCCTGCACAATGAAGAAGAGACTGAGGTGAGCGTGATGCTATTTGATCAAGATCCTTCTTGACATTGAACAGGCTGTTGCATCCAAGTCTGTTCCTGTAACTAGCACTCTAAAGACTGTGCAAGTTTTCCTTACTCTTGTGTAAGTGCTTATGGCCCTGATTCAGACTGAGAGTACAGCATTTCAATAGGGGAGGATTATACTTCCCTCCAACACTCTTCTCCCAGTTGCCCACTTCCATCCGCCTCCTGCAGGATGGGAACTAAAATAAAAGCAAGTATTATCTGTTAGAGTCAGTAGAGTCTTTTTCTTCCTTTGAGGCTGGGGGGCGAATTTTGAAGAAAAATGGGTGAGGGAGAATTTAACCCGCCCTTCCGGAAAGTACTGTGATCCTGCTCCAGACTGAGGCCACACATGCTTACACAAGAATAGAGAAATCCATCACTTACGCCTGCATATGACTCATTTAGCATAATGTGTAGTTTGGCCCCAATAGGACACTGGAATAGAGAAGCCTGGGGTTTTGTTCAGATTCTGGATTCAGTTCCCTGCTACCCAAATTTCAGATACATCACTGACATTTACACACCTTAAAGCCTGTGTGCAGACATACTCTTTGGGAATATATTTTCAGTCATATTTACTATTCACTCTTCAGTGGCTTTATAATCTAGCCCTCATTGGAACACTAAATAGAAAAGTTACCTGGTCTCTGAGAATGAGAGGTCCTTTCTACCTCATTCGTGGCCCACAGACATGGATCATTACTTTTTCAGTTCCTGGGATGTGCCAGATACCATGCCTTAACATTACACATAACTTACGATTCTAACTACCAAAAGGATTTCATTGACCCAGTTTGCACATAATGGGAATTTCTCTGTACTACAACTGAGGAATTGCCAGGGCCTAGCAGCATCAAGTAAGCCCACTGTCTTGGGCATGGCAGTCCCTTCCGTTTTCAGTCAGTGTCCCAGTCCTGGACTGTTGTTGTGGCATCAGAACCCAGAACTCTCAGTTGCTTTGAGGTTAAACAACCCAGAATGAACACAAGAATTACCCATTGTTTGCTGTTGGTTAACTTTGAATTGTTTTATGCATAAACAACCCACAGTTCTGTGTTTGGACATCATGATAACCCAGGGACTGGGTACACCTGGCTCGTTGATTGAAGTGGAGGCAGTGCGTGTGCGGGAAACAGCATGGCCATTCACTTGCTGGAGCCCAAAAGTTTTTGTTATGTGCAAACCAGGTCATTCATTCAGTCAAATTAGACATGTTGCCCTTCCTGTCAATTAGGGGAGAGAATTTGCTCTGTCATGAGATGTCAGTTGTTCAGAGGAATCTGATGGGAGCTGGGGCTGATGGGAGCTGAAGTCCAGACCATCTGGAAAGCACCAAGTTGGGGAAGGCTGGTTTAGAAGGGCAATCAGTCAGAGCCAAGTCCTAGTTAACAGAGGTTGTTAGTTGGAAGAATCTCAGAGAAATATTACCCCACAGAGACATTCCCCTGCTGTTTGTCATGACATTGGTCACTTTTAGTACAGATTATGTGTGTATGCATTCTGGCTCAGGTAGCCTTTCACACCTGCTGTGTCTCAATATTGAGCATTCCTGCCATGCATCTAAAGAGCCTTTTCCAGTCTGGATGCTTTAGCTGTTTGTCCTTTTGGTATTGCAGGACACTCATTCACTGGCAGCTGTACGGCCGTCTCCCGGCACCAGGGCAAACACGGTGCTGGAGAGAGTGGAAGGTGCGCAGGAGCGGTGGAAGCGGCAAGTGCAGGAGCAGCGGAAGACCGTGTTCGATCGGCACAAAATGCTGAGCTAGAGCTCACTGAGAGCTTGTAGCCCAGGAGTGGGCAGCCGCTGCTGGTTAGCTAGGCAGATGATTTCTGTCAGCCAATACAAACCTTGAGCCTAGTTAGTGGAAATAAGTTGCACCTGCCTCTTTTAGTTTGTTTTTGCTTGTTTTCTTCCCCGCTCCCACACTTCTGTCCTGCCCTTCTCCCAAGAACAAACTACATTGGAGCAATGCAGTTGCTGTGTACCCCCAGAGTCCTTCACCCTTACAGCAGGGGCATCCCCTCATCTGCTCCATTCTCTAAAGCTCTGCACTCACAAAGCAGTGAGTATTGTCGCTTGGTTTCTATGTGATCTGTGAAAGAGGGAAAGACCAACTTTTAATGGCAATATCTGTTTGATGTCTGAAATTACAAATAGCAGCAAATGCATGCTGGTCTAGCATCAATCTAGTTTACAGATGAAAAATGTGGCCGTAGAAGTGTTTTAGTTGTTTATCTGTTTTTAAGCATTTGTGGCTTGCTTTTCAGCTTGAAATGGGTACATTATTAATGGCAGCATCCTTGTTTGTTTCCCTGGCAGCAAGGTAATGTAAGAACCTTCAATACTGCAAAAAGTTTACAGAAAACTGGTCTGGCCATACAAAAAAAAAAAAAGATTGGTTTGCGGATCTGGCATTAATAACTGAAGAGTAAAGTAAAGGAAATTAATTTAGTAAAGGCAACAGTTCTGTTGGTGTTGTGAGAGCTCACAGAAACTTCCTCCAGAGACTCTTTCAGGCTCACTAAGCTTGCACCGAAGAAACACTGAGAAGTAAGGAAGCTGATTCAGATCTATTGTGAAACTATGGCTTGGCACTCAGTGAATGTCCCTAGGTGAAGTTTCAGCTTCCTTCTCTCCCCCACAGGGACCAAACTAGAGCAGGAGGTCTGCACATACATCTTTCACATGCAGGTTTATGACAAGTGCTTTGTATTTCCCTCCCAGGCAATAATAGTTAATTCCTCATTTGGTTAGACCAGGATGAGCAGCACATGACCAGCAGGTCAAATGTAGCCTTCACTGCCCTGTTGCCAAATTTGGGGAACTAATTGGCAGGCAAACTGAATTGGACCCTTTAGTGTTATGGATGCCATTTTTAATTTTTTTTGAAAGGGTCAAATAGAAAATGGTCCACAGATCTCCCACAATTGCCTACCCTTGGGCTAGATCTTGGCTTAAATCGGAGAATGATGAGCAGGAACAGCAAATGCTCTTTGTACAGTTCCACTTCCACACATGTGAATTACTCTGTATGTGAAGCTTTTGAGGTTTGTTTCTGTGCATATAAGAGGAGCCCTTTAGATTTATTTGTCCCCGCACCCACCCCATGGGAACGTCATGAGGAAAGGAGAATAGAAAAGGAGAATTGTCTCTTAGGAAAAGAGAATTATCATTTGGCTTGTGGAAGTCTGTTCAGTGTGCTGTACCCATTAATAGTCTAACTTAAACCCTATGCTTTTCCATAGGTCTATTCTAAGTTGGACTAAATTTGGATGCAACCCCCATGTGAGAACAGATCTCTGGAACCCAGAAAAAAAAGTCACCCAAAAAGAAAAAAAAAGTTTTAAAGCTTCATATTTCATATTTGACTTTGGCATTTGTTTATACACAGGTCTGCAGTAGCCATTTTGTTTCAGTTTGACTTGGCAATATTTGTTCTTACAGTACCCACAGCAGTGTGTCCAGGCACTGTACCACGGGTGAAAGGGAAGCAGTGTTAAACCTGGTACACCTCCGTAATGCAATGAAGTAATGGTTTCTCCAATGACAAAGCCAACACCCAGGCATCTTTAAAGGCAGCCTGTACTTATTCTGCATGGAAGTATTTGTGTACTAAATAATGGTTTTGATTTATTTCCCTTAAGGGATCTCTGGCAGACTGGGCCAATTCTTGTTACTATGCAGCATCTTTTCATTAAAGAAACTGGTATGTAACATTGGTGTCTTTCATGATCTGGAAACTCCTGCTCAGAAGGAAAAATCACTCATTTCAGCAACTGGCTAGATGCACATAGCAAAGGAAAAGCAAATAGGAATATGAATGCCTTCTAACATATATACAATCTCCCAGCCAGGTTGCTAGTAAGCATTAATCTTAACAAAGCTGTTGCCAACTTTTAAATGGAAGGATGCATTTTCTTTATTGTATTTATTTTAAACCTGTATACACTGCTTTTCTATTAAAATTTTATGGGATCTGTGCATGTGAGTTAGTAATTAAACAGTAAGAAATGGGCAGAGGATATGGCAGAATTCCTCCCCAAGGCCATAGATAGAACTATGCCAGAGGTTGTGGGAGAGATCCAAGTGGGAATTTCCACCAACCCTCCCAAGTCCCTGTGGGAAGCTCCATGGCTGCTCCACTTCTGATGCTGTGACAGAGAGATGGGCAGGGTAGAAAAGGAGGGAGGGAAGAGGAAAGGATAGTGGGAGGGGAGAGGAGATGGCATAGATTCCCTGGATCCATGAGTCTCTCTGTTCCTGCTCCTACAAACAGCAAAATACGTAAGCTACATGGACTCCTAAATACCAAAACAGAAGAAGAGGAGACCACAAAGGTCTTGGTTGTGTTTCCTGCTTTGCCTGGCTATTGCCACCTGGCCTTTGGATGGAAGGGGGACTCCACAATTGGAGCCATCCAGCTTCCAGGTGTCAAATCCAGCAGGATTGTGCTCTAACATTAAAGAGCTGGACTAATCTGGCTGCATCTGGAGACACAGAACATAGTCCATCACGCTGTGTGCATCCTCCCCTTACCCAGTACCTTCTAGATGTCTTGGACATGGGGGATGTTGGAAATTTTAGACCAATTCTTCTGGGACGCACCCACTTGGAAAAGATGAGTTTAGATCTTTTAAAACAAGGAGATTTTGCTCTTGACTTCAATGGGATGGGAAGCACACATCCAATTTGTTTGTTTGTTTTCCGATTTATATCCTGCCTTTTTCCTACAAAGGGCTCAAGGCAGCTTACATCTCCTCCTCCATCTTATCCCCACAACAACAACCCTGTGAGGTAGGTTGGACTGAGAGTCTGTGACTGGCCCAAAGTCACCCAGTTGGCTCCATGGCTGAGTGGGGACTAGAACCCAGATCGTCTGAGTCCCAGTCCCAGGCTCTTAACCACACTGGCTCTCTGCAAGGCTAGGAAACCTCTGAACTGAGGTTTAGACTGAGATAGAAGTCTTGCTGAAGTTTCCTTTGTAATCATCCTTTATTCCAACTTCTAGGATTTTATTCTGGACTTGAGAGAGTAATGTTTTATACCTCGAGTGGGCAGCTTGGTGTCAGAAGAAAGATAATTTCCCTTTCCATCATCCCTCAGACCAATGGTAAAATTAGAATCTGAATTCTCTGAGCACAAATGGAACCTGTCAAGATTTCACTTATACATTAATCTTAGTGTTGCTATCTAATTCCATTCACTAAGTAAGAGTGAATGCAAGCATCTGGTGATGAATCAACTATGGTTCTGGCCTTTAGATGTTATTTTTAACATCTTCATGTGTTTATTTGGTTTCTTCACAAAAGTATGGGACAAAGCCCAGTGCAGGACGTTGGAATAGGTTTCCTGTCCAGTAAAAGTTACTAGGCATATTTTTGGGTCTACGCATTAACATCGCAATTCAACTGGCCTTCGTTTCGAAATTGGTCCTCAAGTGAGAGATTTAAAGCATCCGTTCTACTTCCAATGATCTACAGTGTCTGTCCTGAGATCTTCTTCTGGTATTTTATCACAACAACTTTCATGCATGGTGTGTTTTCTGTGCCACACTTCACTGATCTGGCTCATTTGCTCCCCCATGTGGATTCTGTTGGGATTTGCCGGAATTATTGTCCTTAATTTCTTCATATCAAGCAAGTACAGTGGATGGGGTGGGATTCAAGTCAAATTTCTTGATGAATCAAAGTGATATTTAGTGAGTGTCCCTTTATTAATTGTACCTGAGCATACAGCACTTCCCTGCTGGAAAATGGCTGTGCAAAGAAAACTCGCTCCATCTGAACAATTAAAATGGGGGAAAAGTACTTTGGAATTGTTAGTGGTGTGTATTTGCTTCAGGTAGCTCCCTAACCAGATTAGGCCATTTCAAAGATATTTGGGGTTTGTCCAAAGCAAACAAGATGACCTACAAATCTGAACAAAATCAGGGGTATAAAAAGACAGTGAGTCTGCAAAAATACTTGCGTTTTCCATCAAGCTCACCATAGAGAGAAAAGAAGATGGGGAGGGGTACAGTTTTATGACTGATAATTCTAGCTTCTGACCAGATAATCACTTTTAATAGGGCTCTCTTTATTTCCAATTCCAGTATTTTGAGGAGGGATGCCACAAGTACTTTTATGAGGCTCATGGATTTTTACTGCCTTTTGTGATGGTGGGAGTCGAGCTTTAGCTCTGTGGAGACTGCCCACTTTTAAATCCACAACCTTGTGGGTTGGGATTTCAAGAAAAAAAACCTGAGTTTAATTTCCTTCCTGCCATGTGATGGTCCTTATCAGAATCAGGACCATGTACTTCCAAAGTTAAAAGGGATTCTCCTCAACTATGTGCTACACAATTGATGTAACCCAGTGTCTGTGCTACTAGAGGCAGGAACAGTTGTTAGGACTGCCAGCAGTGGCTTGAGAGACAGCACCAGCTGGGAGATGCATGTTTCCACCACAGCTGCCTGTGCTGTGGCTGCTGCTGCTGCTGGCACCAACTGCCCAAGCAGTCCGCACAGCCTGGACCAACCCTGCAGCCCTCTTCTCTGGCTCCCTGTACAGGGAGGGCAAGGTGCTGCTTTCCTGTGATGTGGTCCCTGCCTGCATTTTATGACAAAGGGCAGTACAGTGGCGCCAGGCAGCCAGGGGGTAAGGCAGTGGGAGGAAGAGAACTGTTCTTGCTTAGTGGGTGACAATCAGTGCTGGACTTATTTCATGCTCAAAAGAAGAGACCCCTTTCTGTCCACAAAAAAATGGAGAAAGGGAACCCCTTCTGAAAAGCATCCTAGAACTTTGCACTATACAGAAGGCAAACATGCTGTCAAGAGTGTTGTTGTTGTTAGTCGCAAAGTCGTGTCCGACCCATCGCGACCCCATGGACAACATTCTTCCAGGCCTTCCTGTCCTCCACCATCCCCCGGAGTCCACTCAAGCTCACACCAGCTGCTTCAGTGACTCCATCTAGCCACCTCATCCTCTGCCGTCCCCTTCTTCTTTTGCCATCTATTGTTCCCAGCATTAGGCTCTTCTCCGGTGAGTCCTTCCTTCTCATTAGGTGGCCAAAGTATTTGAGTTTCATCTTCAGTATCTGGCCTTCTAAAGAGCAGTCAGGGTTGATCTCCTCTAGGACTGACCGGTTTGATCACCTTGTGGTCCAAGGGACTCACAGGAGTCTCCTCCAGCACCACAATTCAAAGGCCTCAATCCTTTGGCGTTCAGCCTTCCTTATGGTTCTACTTTCACAGCCATACATTGCAACTGGGAAAACCATAGCCTTGACTATATGCACTTTTGTTGGCAGAGTGATGTCTCTGCTTTTTAGTATGCTATCTAGATTTGCCATAGCTTTCCTCCCCAGGAGCAAGCACCTTTTAATTTCTTGGCTGCAGTCCCCGTCTGCAGTGATCTTGGAGCCCAGGAAAATAAAATCTGTCACTACCTCCATTTCTTCGCCATCTATTTGCCAGGAAGTGAGAGGACAGGGTGCCATGATCTTAATGAGTTTTCTTAATGTTGAGTTTCAAGCCGACTTTTGTGCTCTCCTCCTTCACCTGCATCAAGAGGCTCTTTAGTTCCTCTTCACTTTCTGCCATGAGAGTGGTATCATCTGCATATCTAAAGTTGTTGATATTTCTCCCAGCAATCTTAATTCCAACTGGTGATTCATCTAGGCCTGCCTTTCTCATGATGTGATCTGCATATAAGTTAAATAGGCAGGGGGACAGTATACAGCCTTGCCAAACTCCTTTCTCAATTTTGAACCCATCAGTGGTTCCGTGCCCAGTTCTAACTGTTGCTTCTTGACCCACATATAGGTTTCTCAAGAGACAAATAAGATGGTCTGGGACTCCCATCTCTTTAAGAACTTGCCACAATTTGTTGTGATCCACACAATCAAAGGCTTTAGCATAGTCAGTGAAGCAGAAGTAGATGTTTTTCTGGGACTCCCTAGCTTTCTCCATGATCCAGCGTATGTTGGCAATTTGATCTCTAGTTCCTCTCCCTCTTCGAAATCCTGCCTGTACTTCTGGTAGTTCTCGGTCCACATACTGCTGCAGCCTTGCTTGTAGGATTTTGAGCATAACTTTGCTAGCATGTGAAATGAGTGCAATGGTGCGGTAGTTTGAACATTCTTTGGCATTGCCCTTCTTTGGGATCGGAATGTAAACTGACCTTTTCCAATCCTGTGGCCACTGTTGAGTTTTCCAAATTTGCTGGCATATTGAGTGTAGCACTTTTACTGCATCGTCTTTTAAGATTTTGACTAGCTCAGCTGGAATACTGTCACCTCCACTAGCTTTGTTGTTGCTCAGACTTCCTAAGGCCCATTTGACTTCACATTCCAGGATGTCTGGCTTGAGGTTAGTGACCACCCCATTGTGGTTATCAGGGATGTTATCTTTCTTGTATAGTTCCTCTGTGTAATCTTGCCATCTCTCCTTAATCTCTTCTGCCTCTGTTAGGTCCCTGCCATTTTGGTCCTTTATCATGCCCATCTTTGCATGAAACATTCCCTTCATATCTCCAATTTTCTTGAAGAGATCTCTGGTCCTCCCTATTCTATTGTTTTCTTCTATTTCTTTGCACTTTTCATTGAAGAAGGCATTCATATCTCTTCTAGCTATTTTCTGGAATTCTGCATTCAATTGGGTGTATCTTTCTCCCTTGTCTTTCACTTCCCTTCTTTCCTCAGCTATTTGTAAAGCTTCCTCAGACAGCCATTTTGAA